TTTGCCTAAAATTCTGAGTGATTGAAATTTTTCATAGTTGGTCTTAACCATGTCATTTTAGAAAAGAGCAACTAACTTGGTTTTTAATATGCATGATGATAACTTAAGTCCGTATCCACCTTCTTAACTCATTAACGATCAACTTCTCAGTTTCCACCAGGTGGCGCTTTAAGCTGTCTCTTCTTTGTAATTCATAGTCACTTTAATTTATTTAGACACCACTTTTATATATCAATAACAATCTGTTCGAGAGTTAAGAGGGTGGTTTCGGACTTAACAGGTCAGCTTGTTATTTAATGTTTTCTCACGAAATGGTTAATGGAGATTAATATTTTCTTTTTTATAAATATTATAAGAAAACATTTTGCGCAAATAAGATTTCCCATATAGAAGAAAGCTATTTCCCATTCTCTTTGAAGAGAAGTAGATTGGAAATTTGAAAATGTCTTCTGTTTTATTGTTATTTATTTTATAGCGACACAGATCTTATCTGAAAAACAAAAGAGACACTTTAAACGCATTTTATTTTCGTGAGTAAATTTGAAAACATCTCAATTTTTATTTTTTATTTTTAACATTTATCACGTAAACGTAATAAAATTTTCTAGTAATTACATTTATGCCAAGAAGTGCCAAACGGGTAAAAGGAAACGATGTTTTCTTGGAATGATGCCAAGTTTGGCAATAGTGGTATTATTTTCGCATTCACTTCATTAAATACTATTTCGTTGATTCAAAAATTGGTGAAGAAAAGATTCCATTAAGATTGTTAGATAACATCATATGATTTCATTGAAAGTACTAAATGTATAGATTACTAAACGAACGAAAATAAAAAGGTTCGAATGTAAGTATACTACCCTGAAGCATTTACAGTTAGGGGCGCTCTTGCTTTATCGATCGCTGTTTCTGTTATGCCGAACTGTGGATCATACTAAAGAATGGAGCTAGAGTAAATTATAATGCATGGGGTATTAAATTATATTGAAAAATGCAACTAATTTTCAAAAGTTATTTATTACATTATGCACTTAGTGTAATGATAGATTTTGACACGATTAATTTTTTCATTCTGTAAAGCTCCATGTGTAGATATGAGATCTATGTCAGTGTTTAAACTTAGGGTCTAAAATGCATCATTATGCATGTATTATGTATTTTTTGAAAAATCATTACAAACATTGCATTTCAACAAAGCTATTCAGTATCATTACAGTAATGATTAATAACTATTTGGTCAACAATATAAAAAAGAATTGTTTTTTATTTATACAATAGATTAATTTTTTTCATTGAGCGAAGTTCTGTGTGAATGTGAGATAATGCAATGGTTAAAATCTGAATAAGTCTAAATGCATAAAATTATGCATAAAAAGTATTTTAAAAAATTGTTGTAAACAATGCATTTTAACAAAACCGTGGGTAGTCCTGAAAAGTATCCTTATATTAATAATTAAGAACCATTTGAAGAACTATGTTAAAAGAATTTTTGTTAATTTCTACAGGGAACTAATTTCTTCGTTGTACTCATGTGAATGTGAGATTAAGATCAATGGTAGTGGTTAAAAATTGATGAATCTGAATGCATAATTAAACATGCCAGGTATCTTTTTTAAAATAAAAATATATTATAAATAATGCATTTCAACAAAGCTGCGTATAGTTTCTTAGAGTAACAATATGTTAAAGATTAAGAGCCATTTTAAGAATAACGTTAAAAGGATTTTTTTAACTTATGCAGTGTCCAAAAATTCAACAAATGCTTTTTTTAGGAAACACTTGTTTTCAATCATAGATTGCGTTCTTTTTATTGATTCATAAAATATACTGCATGTATGAAATAGCCTCGTGGCTTTGCTGGCATATATTCTTTTATCGAAATTTTCAATGGCCATTTTACGTAAATGTGATACAATTTCATGATACAATACTTAATTTCACCTACAAACTACCTTCAAGTCGTAGGTAGTTCGCAAGCTTGTTAACAGGAAAAAAAAGAAGAAGAAAAAGGTTTCCTGGCGAGAATTAAGATCTGGATTTCAGCTAAAAGAGAAATTAAATTACCAGCATATGTCTTATCATTGCTTGATAACGGAAATGAAATGTTTTTGCGTCCTTTTTATTGACAGCCTGTATGAAATATCCTTCGTGGTTTTGCTGGCATATACTCTGCCATTGAAATTCTCAATGACCATTTCACGTAAATGTAATAGAATTTCGTAATATCATGCCCAATTTCAAATAAAAACTACTTTCAAGACATAAGTAGTTTGTAGGAAAAGTAGTAAGAAAAAGGGTTTCCTGGTGAGAATTAAGATATGGATTTCAGCAAAAGGGTAAATTAAATGACTAGGAAATGACTCATCATTGCTTGACAATGGAAATGAATTATTTTTCGTGTAGTGCTTCATTTGCTATAAACCTGAACTACCAGTTGTTCCTCTGTTTTTTTCTTTCTCTTTTTCGTCGGCAGCATTGTATTGCCCGATTGGAGCAAAATTCACATTTTGCATGAAATTTGTGACACTGATTACAAAATTATTTGTCTATACGAGAATAAGAAATTGGAAAAAGTTTCAAATTTGTCCTCGCGTCGTTTGTACAATTTGATAAATTTTAATGTCTCCAAATGATGCTATTTTCATTTAAAGCAACTTAAATAATTTTCTGAAAGTTTTTAAGAATAAATCCAGGTCGTTGGGCAGAGTGAACTCACGTGCAATAAAAAAAAGATGCAAAGAGTTCCTTTTTTTCGCTTCAACAAAGTAATATTGAACATTTCTAGCAAAAACATTTCTTTGCATTTTTAAAAAAATAGCAAAATCTGCTTTTACTAGATATCGAAAATTATTTTCGAAACTCACGTAGACTTACTTCTCGTGTCATTTTTTAAATTTTCATGTGTTATTTCCGAAATGACTGTTAAATGAAATTTAACTCTCAGAACTACAGATATTTGGGAGCATGACTTACTATTTTGATTTTAATACGATCAAATTAAATAGTTCAAACTACTATAGTTACTTCAATAATTTATTTAATTTTTTGGTCTGTTGTACAGTGTATACAGTTCACGTTCTAGGACTCTGATTTAAAGGTTTTAAGGGGTGACCTCAAATATGCTTTTTAAATAGTGTAGACGATGTTTTGAATTTCTAAATCAGACACAAAAACGTACTTTCTCTAAATAATCATACCTTTTTTGCGATGGATTCGGATTTCTAACCCCAAAATGTAGGGGGTTGCCACAATCTGGGAAATATTATCCCAATAATTTGGTCAAGAGAGCACTCCTAAGTTTGGACCCCTAAATGCTGATTTTACTTTTTACCTGTTCCACCATATATCGAGACCTTTTTAAGCGAATTGAAAAATTTATGCAAAAAATTATAAAATTTAATAGTAGTCGGAAAATTTTAAATTGTAAGTATGCAATATTTTATACCATTTTAAAAAATGTAATTTTATGTGGCAAAATACAAAATTTGAGCGAAATCGGTCGAATAGTTCATGAGAAATCGAATTTTAAAAAAAAGTTGACTTAGGGAATTTTAAAAATACAACTTTTTTAAAGTTAGATTTCATATGAGCTATTCAATCGACTTCGCTTGAATTCTGTATTTTGCCTTGTAAAATTACTTTTGATGAAATGATGTAAAAAATTTAATAACTTAAAATTTAAAATTGCTTCGACTATTTTTAAATAAAATATTAGCAAAATAAATATTCACTAAAAGTTATTCTTTTTAATGGAATTATTTTTGAATAAACGAATTTTTTTATTGCGTGCAAAGATTTTTTAATTCATTTGAAAAGTTCTCGAGATTGGCTAAATATGAAAAAAAAAATTAACATTAAGGGGTCCAAACTTTCGACCACTCTCTTGACCAAACTGGTGTGACCATGTCTCCCAGATTTTGGGGCTCAGAAATGTAAGTCTGTTACGATGAAATTGCACTGCTTACAACGATTCTACTGTGAATCTCGTCTACTTGTAAATTGATTAATATTTTAGTAAAAAAGTCAATCTGCAGAGAAATATCTATGCCTTAGTTGTATTTGTATTAAATTTGAATACTTAAATTAAGTTTTATTCATATTTATGAAAATAAAATCTTAAGATGTATGACAAAGTGTAATGCGTGACCGTACATATGAGGGGTGCAATTCATTTATAACTTTCTAACTATTTATGAATGTAGACATTTTTTACAAGACCTTGAGTCAATATAGTTAGACACTTTTTTAAAGGTGATATTTTTGCTCTAAATATTTTCTATAGTATTGTTTCCAGATGGTTACTTAACAAGTTTCTCGAATTTTCATTAGATAACTGCACAATACGCAAAAACTTCTTATTGCCTACAAGAAAATTGTTGATTTTTTCTTTTACCAAAAACCTTTTCCTGAGCAGTTTTAAAATGTGGTCAATATATTATCACAATACAAACTCTTGACAATGCTTTACAGCTTTAAATACTGTCTAAATTTCAGCTCGATTGGTAATTGAGATTTAGGGTATAATCGTTATGCTGTCGATATATCGGATCGGTATATCAATATGTACGATATATCGGATTACTGAAGAATATAACAAATGCTAATGTGGTGTTTAGTTTTGATTCTCAAGAGTTCAAAGTGTTGCAAAATCAACAGAGAATATTAAACATATGTTTGTTTCTTTCTAAAAAGAATTTTCATGTAAGACATGTTACAATTGTTGGTATAAAAATACGTTGAAAATCTTATGTTTCCTTTAAAAAAACGTTATAAAATGATATTGTTAATTTGAAATTGTGTAGCAAAATACAATTTTTCATTTAAAAATGCGTATTGTATGGGATATGGGCCTTCTGTGCGGCCCAGTTGCCCAATTTTTTTTAAAGAAAGAAAGAAAAAATGCGTAGCAAAACGCAGTTGTTAATTTAGAAATATGTTACAAAGTTCAATTGCTAATTTAAAATATGATTTTTGCTCATTTAAAATTTTGTTTGTTACAGGCTTTGTTCTGCTACCAGACTGCCCACATGTCCACCTCGATTGGTCATCCCCCGCGTCTACGATACAAGGTGAAGCATATACTGAGCTCAACCATGTTCTGCTGTGGACGAAAGAAAGTAGGTTATTTTGATTTTCATTTATATAATAAGAGAAGATTTTCAAAGAACAAATAAAAAAGCAGGTGAAATCATGGTTAGGCATTAAAACATTTAGGGTATTAGAAATTTTAAAAAACCATGTCGCTTCACAGTTAAAACTATGTAAGTTAAGAGTGAATATTTTTTGCTCCAGCGCAGTTATGATTCATTATGACTTAATGAAAGCTACCTCATCAATTAAAATTGAAATTTGCTGCAACTCACTAGATGGAATAATACAAAAGCTTAAAGATTCTTGTCTCATTGCATAATCTTGTCAAATCACACACACAAAGGATTATGACAAAACATCAGGAATTGGAACTTCTTTATCATCCTTCATACACATTAGTCCTGGCTCCTACTGACCACCACTTCTTTCTTAATTTGGACAACTTCTTAATAGGAGAATAATTTAGTTCAGAAAAGGCAGAAAACAGGCTTTGCAGGATTTTTCTTCTATTCGATTCAATCCACCTATAATTATTGCACATAATAACCAAAATAATTTCTATAAGTTACAAATATAATTTATTGTCGGTCCGTCAAACCTCTAAAAGCTTTGAATTTCATTGATAAGTATGAGAAATCACGTGGTCTGAACATTTCAGAAGTCATAAAATTATTTCTTTAAGTATTTCTTGAGAAATTTCAAAAAAATATTACTATACAAGTGTTTTAATTATTTTGTCCATGATATATCCACGATTTTGTCCACGCTTCCTAAATTAGCACTATAGTATGAGTTCTTTTAGGAGAAGCTTTGTGAAGGATGCGATAACGGACCCTTCACAAAGTTTTTATCTGTAAATTGAACTCTTCAGAAAATATTATACCGCAAAAATGAACACTTGACAACTTGTTTTATCGCAAAAACTAAAATTTTGTAAAATATTTTATTTACTGAAAAGGCTCTTCATTATATTTTTCAATTTAAAAATGAACCCTTTCATCCTTTTGAAAAATAGAGTCGATGATAATTAATTTAATTTATAAATTAGGAATTGCAATTCTTCAAGAGATATGGCTTTTTATATCATCGTTAACAGGCCATTAATATCATCGTTTAGAGAAAAAAAGATTTAGACGGAATGATTCTTCGATAATTTTAGATTTAGAAAAATATTGATAGATTACGCAAATTCCCAAAACATTTGATCGGACCACCGATGTGATTTTTCACAAAAACACAATTTAAATATAAGTAAAAAAACGCTTTTCCTGAGATTCTGCAATGAAAAATAAGAAATAAAATATTGGGTTCAACTTATAAGAATCGAGTTGACATAGACTGAGTTAATTTTCATTATATTAGGATCATTTTATATAAAGTTAGTTTTAAAATATGTTGCAAGAATTTCGTATTAATGTTTTAAGGAAAACAGGTGAACTGTCGTCAGTTTTCAAATAACAATAATATAAAATATATCACGTGACATTTCATCTACTCTTTTCAAAAACTTACACGAAATTCTCGCTACTCATTTAATAAAAACTTTATGTGAACTTAATATCTGAAAAATTATTTAAGATTATATCAACTCGATACCTTTAAGTTACACCCAATATTTCATTTCTTACTTTTTCGTGCAAAATCAGAGAAAAGTTGGGGTTTTTTTTAAAATTTTATCATTTATGTTATTTCTTACTTTTTTGTGTGAGAATTCGTTAAATCTTGTAAAAAAATTCGCTTTTTTCCGATATATATCGCTGGTTCAAAGTTGTTGTTGTTGTTGTTGTTGTTACTTTATGTCACACTAGAGCTGCACAATGGATTATTGGCGACGGTCTGGGAAACATCCCGGAGGATGATCCGAAGACATGCCATCACAATTTTGATCCTCTGCGGAAGGTAGCCCGACGACCTGCGCGCGAAGTCGAGCACTTTACGGTAGCACAGTTTAACGAGGACCAATACCGCACACCCTCGGTCTCTATGCAGACTGATCCAAGTGGTCACATACCCGCACACTGATCGTAGCCAGTGATGCTTGACTTCGGTGATCTGCTGGGAGCCGTGTCTTAACGATCAGTCCACTGCTGGACCTGGTCCAAAGTTAAAACGACACTTCTGCACTCACTTCTCATGTTATCTGAATGAGAAGTGAGTGTAGAAGTGTCATTTTAACTTTGAACCAGCGATATGTACAGACAGTAAACCTCGTTTTGAGGTCAGATGTTAGCCTATAACTAGAGAAGAAAACTTATATGAATCTGCTTATCTACATAATTATTAATATTAATTATTTAAGTCATCACTAAAATAATGCATAGATGATCTACAACAACGAATACTGTCTGAAATAATGAACTGAGATTAAAATTGTAATGTATGGGGGAATCGAACCCACGACCTTTGCGTTATTAGTGTAACGCTGTTATAAACCGAGATAATGCCGAACGTTTGCAACTGGGTGAAATTAATATAAAATAATGCTTCTGTCGTTCCTACTTTGTGGACAGGAAAGAAAACTGAGAAAGAAAAACCGAAAAGAACGGGACACCATTATCACAAAATTATGAAAATATTTTTCACAACCTCACAATAACGGATTTTTTACAAAGTCTAGAATAATTCCTGAGTATGTTTTAACATTGAATCGAATTTTCCAAGAAAGTATGTATTTTCCCATAGCCCTACTTTGAATCTTTAATTACTTAGAGCTGGTGTAGACGAAATATAGTGTCCAATTACTTTTTTTGACTTAAAGTTTATATTAACCAAAAAGGTTTTAATGAAAAGAAAAGAATGATTGGGTAAAATTAATTAAGATTAATTTCAACGAGTTCGAGAGACTAAACCTCAACCTTGAGTAAAAATAAACTTGTTATAATAAATAAATAAAGTACTCCCCTGTATTGTAGCTTAATAATAATACATATAAAAAAAAAAGTTTTCCAGAATCTAACGACATTTTTTTCGTACTTGTTCAGTGACATTACTTCAAATTGATCTTTGCTGACTTCTATGTGTTTGTTGAATAAAATATCTTTTGTCATAAATATCTACACTCTAGTCTCCAATCCGATTGCATTGACGCACAAATAAGTAATTTTCTGTCATGACATTCGGTAAACAAGTGATCGCTCCCTTAGGAGCACTTGTTTCACTCACACAATCACCTACAATTGAATATTTTATTTCAGACTAGCCACTATCATTTAATCTCAACACAATAATCTCGTCGGTCGACATATTTATTTTAGCTGCAGATTGTTATAATAATCTGGACGACAGCAGTTATTTTTATACTTTATGTTCGTGATGATGAAATGATGTTGTGCATATATATATTCCAGGATTTTTCTTCCATTCGATTNTGCATATTTCATGTTAATATTTAAGTAATTTGGCTGAAGATTTGAGTCCAAATAGTATGTTGGAAATTAAAGTAAACCTGATAGGCTAATGTTTAATGTAATAGAAGAAAGAAAGGTTTAAAATAGATATTTGTGTTCAGTTGTCGTGACATTGAGTAATAATCCCCAGCATTGAAATAAAAAGTTAGCCCTTACATTTATTATTGAAAAAAATATTTGCATTCGGTTTTTATAGAATTGAAGGGGGCGAGGGTAGCCTGATTGGTAGGGAGGTAAATCCATTGCCAAGCGGTTGTGAGTTCGATCCCCATCGGCCAAAGACTCCCCGTGTAGTAAATGGTAACTGGTGCACGTTAAATCTGTCGGATCAGGAAGTCTTCTAAGTTCCCATAAAAAATCAATACCTCTGGGGATACTGAATTGGAGATAGATCGTTTTCTGTTTCAGGTCAAAATTACGATCTGCGAATGAATGGATGTATGAATAGGTCCACCCTTTAAAATAAGCTGTGTCGTATGTGTGGCTGAAGTTGTATTCTTGACCATATATGGAGGCACTGAAAAACAAGAAACGCATCATTTGCCTTAAATTCACTTAGTTTTACCATGAAGGCTTTCTGGTATGGCAAGTGGAATTAAAAACAACAACAACATAAAATTGAATTAAAATTAATTGACTGATTTATTTATTTAAAGAGGGATTAGGAATGATTAAATTTATGAAATAATGGAAATTTTAAAGGTAGAAAATATGTAATTTCTATAATATCATCACAATAACTTTAAAAATATTATCAAGACTTATTGTTCTTTTTTTTTTCAAATAAAACACGTTTTGTTGCATTTATGAATTTACTTTCCTCTAAAATATACATTTTTTAAAGTAAAAACCACATATTTTGTCATTTAAAACTCAGTTTAGAAGAGATTATTAGAATTTTCTTTTCCCGCATAATTAAATTTTTATAAGTTTTAAATTTCCATACTTTTAATTTTTAAACTTTTTTGTACTTAAAAATAAAGCAGATAGGATATTTGTGTAGTTTAAAAATACTTAAAAAGTTTATAAGAGCCTCATCATAAGCTCGCGTATGAAAACTAAAGCTAGTGAGTCAGACTCAGACTTACGCACCCTGACTTAGCCCTACAGATCAATCTTTAACGTTCATTCCTTTAAATTCTGGAAACGAATCGTAAAAATATTTTTGGTATCTAAATGAAAAACAATGAAATATGAAATGTTTTTAGATATGAAAAAGTTTAAGGATGATAAGAGACATAAATAATGAAATTTATATTTTTAATATTACTTTCATGATAATGGCTATAATAAATTGTCGTAGCTCCTACGCGTGAGTATTTTTTTATTTGCACTGGTCGTAGTAAAACATTTTTGTTTAGTAAAAGCAAAAACTCTTTTTGTATTATAGTTAAGAACAGGAACTCTGTGCACGCTCGTATATTTCAATCAACTACCTCGTTTTAGAAAATGCGTTAAAAGCTGTTGTACCACATAAGGACAAGTCACGCAACCTATTCATGGTTTCGGATTAGAGTTATTCATTCATAAAGCGCAAAACCCCTGAAGTTAGTTAGAATTTAATTTTGAACAAGTAAAGAGTGTTCTTTTATGAAAGTGGTGACTCTCTCTCTTTCAAC